CTGGAGACCGGAAATCTGGTATCCCTGCCTGCACAGAGATTCCCGCTCCTGTAGAGTCGGCAGAAAGATGAGTTTCGAGTACATTGAAGCGTGGTGCTGAGGGAACGAACCACAGACGATAACCATCCGCTTAGCTTTCAATATCGCCTTGATGACCTTTTCAAGCTGAACTGCATGGTCCACAGAGTCCTGCAAAAAGGAAGGGGAGGATGGCGCCCGCACTGTAGGGACCAGTGGGACGAAAAGCGTCATCCGACGGCTTCTCGTGGTGGTCGGGAACTTGGAAGTTGAAGGAAGTCAAGCAGTGGGCGCGCACATCGCCATGTGGCGGCCCGATCAATTCCTGTCCTCTACCATAATCTGCTATTGATCTCCTACAACCACAACCACAAGAAAGGTGCTGCTTCGTTGCTCAACTCACTTGCTTTGCGACTGCTACGAATTCCAGTGGTTCAGCTCTGCCTTCCAGCGACAAGAATGGGTATGCCTTGACCCATAGCATCAGGTTTTTGCCTCGGGAGCAAACCAGCCTATACGTGAGCGTCCTCGGAAAGAGCCTGCCGCCACCGCCGATTCTCAGCTTTCTATCGCAAAGCGTCATGTGGTGGCCTGTGAGTGGACGAGCCAGGACGAGCCACTCGAAATGCTACCGGTGACAGCGTCCCATATTCCCCACATTTGGCCCTCGAATTTCTGGAACTTCCACGAGGGAAACTGTGAGTTTGCGTCGACGGTGAGGAGCGACAGGAATTGCCTCAAGCCCAAACTCTTCGAATCTTGACCTGCCAGTGGCTAGGCTCACATCGCATCTCATACAACTGCCATCACGCTCCAATGTCCTACGGCAATCCAAAGTTATCTTGAGATTGCTCGATTTTCCCCCTCGCTCTCATCATCTGGGTATCAAAGCAGTATGCTCCCCGAGAGGAGTTGCTCTTCTACGTTCGAATTTTGGTGCTTTTGGTGAGTCTACGTATGTAGTATGTACTCTCTGACTCTGAGTCTCTCTTGACAGGCGGCGCTCTACCGACCCTCGGAACTTTAAGGTCAAGTTCCGTCTGATGGCGCATGGTATGATGTCCCTTACCCTTGGCGCCGGCGGCTCTTGGGCAGCTCCGTGGTCGATAAAGTGCATGTGTTTCAGCCAGCGGGCCCGCATTGGGCCCGCATTGCAACAATACAACTCAGTGCAATGCGAAGATCTGTGAGACTTAGCGCCAGGTGGTGAAGCTTTGCAGCGTTATTCAAAGGCGCGTACCATAGTAGCTGGCATAGGAATATAATGTGCTGTTGAGAAATTGAGGAAGATCAATGATGCGCACCCATTTGTGATGCAGACCACTTCAAGACCACTTGGCAAACTTGCATGTATGTTCACGCAGCCGTTGCGCAGCCGCAAAAGGCCGCAAACCGAGGCCGACCATGTTACAGCCTTATGGCGGGGACCCCCATGACCAACGCCAAGCTGCGAGACCAGGCGCGTTCATATAAAAGTAGGACGCGCTTGAACTTGGACCCTCCGCGCCAGGATGACAAGCCTTTTCAAGTGTCTCATTCTGGGTCTCAGCGTCCTCACCGTCGCGAATGCGGTTCTCATTCCCAAAACACCGCGTCTCACCACGCCGTGGACCTCTCAGGTCTCTCTGACAAACCCCCTGCCGGAGTATCCGCGTCCACAACTTGTCCGCCCCGACTGGCAGAGCCTCAATGGCCAATGGGAGTTTGCTGCTTCCTCCCAGATCACGTCGCCTCCCACCGGGCAAACCCTGGCAGAGACCATTTTGGTCCCGTTCCCTATGGAGGCCGCACTGTCTGGCATTATGCGCCATGAGACAAACTCTTTCTACCGTCGGACTTTCACCATCCCATCTGCTTGGTCTGGCCGCCGCATCAATATCAACTTGTGCGTGGACAGTACACATTTACCGTACCGCATTGACCTTTTCCTTTTTCAGCGGGGCGGTCACTTGGCAAACCAACCTTTGGATCAACGGTGTTCAGGTCGGCACCCACACCGGCGGCTACGAGACCTTCTCCTTTGACATCACCTCCTTCCTCAAAAGTGGCACGAACGAGATCATTGTTGGCGTCTACTCCCCCGTGGACAGTACGGGCATCCCTCTTGGGAAGCAGCGCCTTAACCCATCAGGGATCTTTTACACTGCAGCCAGCGGTATCTGTAAGACTTTTGAGCATTTTTTTCAGTGAGAAAGGTCTAACCTTTCCCCAGGGCAAACTGTATGGCTCGAACCGACCAATGCCGCTCATATCACCCGCCTCGACACGACTCCTGATGTCCCCGGACAGGCCCTCAACATTGCGGTCCAAACCAGCGGCGCCTCCGGCCAAACCATAAGTGCCATCGTCTCGACTGGTGGTCAAACCATCGCCAATTCGTCTGCCACCGTGGGTTCCAACCTCCGTCTGTCAATCCCCAACCCGCGTCTTTGGAGCCCCGACGACCCCTTCCTGTATGATCTGCGTGTGACCCTCTCGTCGGGCGACGTCGTCACTGGTTACTTTGGCATGCGCACTGTCGGCACCGCTATTGTCAACGGCTTCCTCCGCCCTGTTTTGAACGGTCGCTTCATCTTTCAAATGGGTACTCTTGATCAGGGCTATTGGCCCGATGGTATCTACACCGCGCCCACCGATGCCGCCTTGCGATTCGACCTTGACCAGCAAAAGGCCCTCGGCTTTAATACTGTCCGCAAGGTCTGTTGTTACTTGACCTGGTCGTAGATCGGCGACTAACGCGTCGCGTAGCACATCAAGGTCGAGCCTGCTCGCTGGTTCTACTACGCCGACAAGATCGGGCTCCTCGTCTTCCAGGACATGCCTGCTATGCGCACCGGTACCAACCCTTCCGCTGCTGACAGGACCAACTTCGAGAGCGAGCTGAAGCGCATGATCGACCAACTGCGCGGCATCACCTCGATCGTCCAATGGATTCCGTTCAACGAGGGCTGGGGCGAGTACGACGAGGCCCGCATCGCAACCTACACCAAGTCTCTCGATAGCACTCGTCTCGTCAACGGTAACAGCGGGTCCAGCTGCTGCGGCCGCGACCCGGGCAACGGAGACATCATCGACGACCACACCTATGTCGGTCCTGGCCAGACCAACCTACCCACCGCCAGCCGTGTTGCGCAACTGGGCGAGTTTGGAGGTAAGCCTACTTGCTCGTCTCTGTGATCCTTGTGAGCTAAAATCGACCCAGGCCTTGGTCTCATCGTCCCTGGCCACGAGTGGCAGAAAGGCTCAAGCTTCTCTTATGAGATTGTCGCCGACGGCGCGGCGCTGAATCGCCGCTATGCCGAGGTCACCGACGCTCTCCAAGGTCTCATATGGGCCCGTGGTCTTTCGGGTTCGATCTACACCGAGCCAACTGACGCCGAGAACGAGTGCAACGGCTATTACACCTACGATCGCCAAATCTTCAAGGGCAACTTCGACCAGTTCAAGGCAGCGCACGCCGCCGTCCTGGCCGGTGTCGCATGGCTTCGCGCCGGAGAGTCCATCTCGCTCGGTGTGACAACATCTGGCTTGACGGACCGCTACATTCGCCACGTGGGTGGCCTCGGTGTCACCTCGGCCGTCTCCGAATCGGTCTCGCGCCAGGACACCACTTTCCGCGTGCGCGCTGGGCTCGCCGCCTCTAACTGTTATTCTTTCGAGTCACGCAACTTCCCCGGAAGCTTCCTCCGCCACTTCAACAGCCGCCTCCGCCGCGACGCGTCGGATGGCTCCGCTGGCTTCAAATCCGACGCGACGTTCTGCCTGCGCGCCGGGCACACGGCGTCCGGCGTGTCCTTCGAGGCCTTCAACCAGGCCGGCAAGTTCCTCCGTCACTACGACGGCAAGGTGTACATCGCCTCGAACGGCGGCTCGAACGCCTGGGACGCGACTGGGGCATGGGCGGCGGACACGACGTGGCAGGTCGCCTCGCCGACATGGCGCAGCGGCGCCGACCTCAAGCATGGCTCCCGTGTCTCGATCCAGGTCACCACCGCGGGCTTCACGGACCGCTACGTGCGGCACCAGCAGTCCCTCGCGATCACGTCCCCGATCTCGGCCGCGTCTGACGCGACGACCAAGTCGGACGCGACCTTCATCGCGCGTGCGGGGCTCGCGGACCCGTCGTGCTACTCGTTCGAAGCGTCCAACGTCCCCGGGCAGTACCTGCGTCATTCGAGCTTCCGGCTGCAGATTGCCCCCAGCCAGGCGAACTTCGTCTTCAACGGCGACGCGACGTTCTGCGCGCAGCCGGGGCTCGCCAACGCAGCGGATGTTACGCTGTGGTCGTTCAATATGGCCGGGCATGCGATGCGCCACACCAACGCGGAGGTGTGGATCTCGACGCGGGGCGGCCCGCATGCGCAGGATAGCAACGCCGCGGCGTATTCGGCTGATGCTACGTTCAAGATTGCTGCACCTTGGGCTGCTTGATCATGGATAATAATAATTCGGTCTCTGAAAGTCGCTGTAAAAACACCTAGTAATAATCCGCGCTGAGCTCTGCATCATCAGCAGCTTTAAGACCCTCCAGTGGACTGTCCATATATACACCAACACAGATAGCGGAGGTTTCTCCAGGGAACAGTCTCCAGTAACCTTGCGTGCGCAAATGCAGTTGCCTAAAGTTGGTCATAGCGGTAGGAACGAGTTGAAGAAAGTAAATTGTGACTCAGATGGCACCTGCGGCCAGATGGCACCCTACAAGGTGAACCGTGACCCTAGCCTGGTTCATAAAGCGGGTCTTGATCCTCGAATGAGCATCGACATGTGAGTCTCAGTGCTCTAGGGTCGACCTTGGTCATCCCCGCTTCATAGCTCGATCATTCGACACCGCTTCAACTGTTGCTGGAAGTTCTGAAGGGTTGAAGACCCTTCGGCGATTAGTATTACATACTTGCATGAAGCGTAGGAAGAACGGATGGGGATAGAGCGCGGAGTTTCGACCAGGATAGACACCGGTATGAGGGGAGGCCTTTCATCAAGGCCGTGTGGCAAAATGGTTACTGCGTTGCTTTCCGATGGTTTACAACATTGTGTTGTGCGCCTCTTAGGCAGAGACTGTGGGTTCGAGTCCCACCATGGTCGTTCTTTTTGAAGAACAATTTGCCCGAGGAAATCCTATATGATGACGACTCGACGTTAGACCTTCTCACTCCCTTTGCACTTAGTGACTTATCCGGAAATGGAAAAAATGATACATCTCCAGACTCAAAGTAGTCTCTTTCGACAGGCCACCCCCTCTCACCCCATTGGCACTCAGCAGACGTCTTCAATGCACACTGCGCAACCTACTCGGACAGATCCCGAGCCATGACCGTTTTTATATCGGCCGAAGTATTTAGCCATCCTTATTCAAGTCAGCGGCGCTCGTCAGGCAGATGGAAGGCCGATACTCCTTCAAATTGCGAAGATATCAGTTCCGTGCGTTTAGATCGTTGGAAAGGGCACACTCGAGCTTAGATAGTCTGAACGGAGGAGGTCAGCACCATGAAGACGGAGCACTAGACGACAGCGCACACCATATTGGCCCATGATGACATCAAGAGAAAGCTAAAGGACAGCGGTCAGCTCCAGAGGTGGCACGTCGAGGATAGGATAACCCTAGGCTGAGATCGAAGTGCTTGCCCATGCTGAATCGTGGGGAATGGGTGCGGGAGTCTCCACAGCGACCGACGACGACTTGCAGGGGAAAATCATACGAAGCCCACGTCCGAGTCCGACACGTAATCGAAACCACTACCCCCTAACACAGCCAACTGTGAAGCAAGGGCTTCACCGAAGTCCGCTTTGCCGTCTGAATGAAGCATCACCATCCGCTCTGCATCGCTGCGAAGGTGCTCCAAGTATTCTGCAGCGCCGCTAAGGTGAAGTACCTGCGCAAAGGCAGCGTGGATTCGTAGATACTCAGGATTTGGGGGGTCTTCGTCGTTGAAATTGACAATGGACGAACGATCCCCAGTGCTGAGACGGCTGCGGAGGCATACAGCTCTGTACTTGTTAGCATCATTGGGAAACTGTAACATTAGTCGGACGACTGGATAATGAGGGATGTCGACTAACCGCCATCTTATCAAGGTAAAACCTGAACGCCCCGAAATCTTCGTGATCGTCCCGGGTCATGTAGATGCCATTTGGAGGTGACACACTTTTTCCGCCGATCAGTCCTCTGAGGTCAGTTTGCGTCCACGACTGCAATAAATCCCACGTGGATGCAGCATCTCGTATTGTTGCTGTCCAATGTGGCGTATGTGAGGAAAACGAGGCCACCGTGGAAATAAATGGACGCACACCCTTATGGCCCTCCGCGTCGTCAAAGCTAGTTAGGAACGATGGGATGATGTGGGCGGCTGCCATTTTATGAACTGGTCCAGGAGGGATCTCGTGAGACCGTCCGAGCTCATCGAAGTATTCGACACGATCTCGGTCAAATGCGTTTGTGATGGCACAGCGGTAGCGCTCGCGTTTCGCCAACTACAATCTGTAAATAGAGAGGCCTAGGTTCAACTGAAGCGCGCTCACAGCGGTTCTGAATTCACGCTGCTCCTTCCTGTCCGCACTCTTAATGACCTGAGCGGTTTGATCGAGCGTCGGAGTCCAGTGACTGCTGCTTGGCTCGGATCTCTTTTCCAATGCGATCCTCAACACTAAAAAGGAGATTTGTATAAGTACGCATTGGATAGGCGGTCGAAGGACTTACTGGGAAGCACAAGCTGGTCCAGCCATGCTTTCGCAGCTTCCACAACGGAGTGCCCGCTGTCGTTATTGGCGGCAGCAACATGAAGAGCAACTGCCACATATCTCGCGCCGAGAGGGTTCGGCGCGTGGTCCAGCAGGGCCGCAAGAAGCTTGGCTAGATCATAACTTTTCAACTTTTGTGGGGCAGCCTGACTTAGACGTTGTTGGTGCTTCTTGACGATCCCATGGGCCTCCTTGACAAGTTCATCAGTGCTGTAGTTATCATTCTCGAAGAAAGCGAGGGAGTTGTCCGGGTCCATGGATAAGGTGCTGCAGAATGAGGAGACGGATAGGTTACGACTGTGCGGCATGATGATGGTGGACGACAAACATTGAAGCAAGGAAATTGAACGCGATCGAACGCGATCAGTGGCTGTGACGATCAACCCGAAACATTATGTAAAGGCTCTGCCGCCTTCAGCGCTTCAGCTTCAGCACTTCAGCTCGTTCATTTCAGGTAGACTCCCTGGGTCTGAAGTGTCTACTGCACTCGAACGTTCGAGCTTGTGCAAATTAAATAGGTCAGTCATGGTGGTGAAGGTAAGATAACCAGGTTGTCTCTGCGGGCGAGTCACGAGTGTACAAATCGCCGCGCTGCTTCAAGTTCCAAGATTATAGAGTTCCCGCCGCTTTAGCAGGAACGCGGGCTCCTCCCAAAAAAAATCGCCGGGGCCTCACTGACGAGGAAAGCCAATAAGCGTACCCCAAGCGAGTCTGAGAGCCTAGCCGCAATGCCATTTCTTTAGACCCCGCTCGTACCGTAGTAGTACATACCTCGCCGCAAAGTCTAAGCAGACTAAGCTCGAGACCTGCATTCCGAGTTTTTTTCGGTGCAGCACCAGGTGAGACTCGTGAACGTGGGAAACCACCAGAAATGAGGGCAAGACGCCCCGGAAAGCGGCAGGACACAAATTGCGAAAATACGTGCTGGAGAGTCGATTTCAATGATCCGGCCTCGGCAGTGGTAGCATCCTCAACACAGGAGGCTTCCGTTGGACAGGAAGGATCAATTGCCAACATATCAGTATTACACATGAGATACCTCTATTTTACATCTTCTTCATCTAATACGCACTCTAGAAAGTAGGGGTGTCAAACGTATCATCGTGGTCTGAACACATCCGTCAGCCCAAGTGTTAATAGCAGAGCAGAACACTCGTACCTTTCCCATTAGCAAGGATATACTCCTTCTCCTTGACGGCGAGGTGTTTGATGTACGACTCATGCTCGTGCGCGCTGACCGCGACTTTGGGATTCGAGAGCGCGCCCCCGCGGATGGCGGCGGTGGCGACGTCGTAGCGCGAGGTGTGGTTGCACAGCATCATCTAGATAAGATAAGCAGAGATAAGCAGCCATAACGTAGAGTTTCGCAAAAACGTACATCGAACGGCGAGGTCGTCGTGCCCTCCTCGCGGTATCTACACCCAGCCATCAGCACGACCAACGGAATCAACGGAGTCAAAGATCAACGCACCCCTCAATCGACACCCGCTGGAGGTTCGGGCGGCCGAACAGCAGGCCCTTGAGCTCGATCGGGTACCCGTGGTAGTTGAAGTGCACGGGCTTGTCGTGCGTGAAGAGCGAGTCGAACGCGACGTCGCTGAGCGCGTGCGGGTGCGTGCCGCTCGTGCTGAGAATCATGAGGTCCGTGACGTTCACGACGCGCACGCGCAGCTCAGGCACGTGTTTGCGCAGGAGGGCCGCGGCGGCGATGACCTCGAAGGTGACCTCGACGCCGATGCCGACGAGAACGCTGCGCGGTGTCGGTGTCAGGAGGTACGGAGGCGGGTGTGGAGACACTTACACGTCGGGGTTGACGCCGTCGTCGACGCTCGCGAACTTCCAGACGGAGGCGCCGGCGATGCAGTGCTACAGATACGGGCTTAGGCTTCCACTAGTAAAAATGACCATGCTCATAAGTACCTTATCCGCGTCTTCTGGCGACAGCCACACCGGCGTCGGCTGCTTGCTCCCAACCATAAGATTCACGTAGTTCTTCGCCCGCAGGCAATGCGACATCGTCGACAAGAAGCAGTTTGCATCGGGCGGGAGGTACACGCGCGCCAGCGTGGCCTTGAGGTTGAGGACCGCGCCAATGAAGGCTCTGGAATATGTGTAAGCACGACAAGGGCGAATGAGCGTGAACAAACGCACGGGTTCTGGTGGGAGAAGCCGTTATGTTCTTGCCGGGCCCAGGTGGAGGTTTCGAGGTAATTGAGCGACCCACAAGGCTCGCGCCATGGGTTCTCCGCCGCCTGGCGCATTATTAGCTTGGAAACACAACACAAGAAAAGGCACACCATCTTGGTGAACTTGCTGTACTGCACCATCATCGTTTGCACAATCCCTTCATGATACTCAGTTTGTGATTATGGGCCGGGAGAAAGAGGCGCACCGAGGAAGGCTTCGTAACTGGGGAACAAGCCTGTCCGGCCGGTGAGAGTGTAGCCCTGGAGCATGCCCTGGCAGGTATGCTCGGACAGAATCTCGATCACCCGTCCGCCCCGGGCGCGCGACTCGATGTCCCACTGGAAGTTGCGCGAGCTGTCGTCGAGCACCGCGTCCAGCTTGTTGGACACAAGCTCATCCGGCGAAAAGATGCGGAACCCCTTCGGGTTTCTGCGTGGGCGGTCAGACACAAGCCAAGGTGGATACGGTAGAAGAGGAGCGCACTCCTTCACGACGCCCTTGAGGAGGCGCCCCACCGCCTTCATGCAGCTCTCCTGCGTGCCCTGCTCGACGCAGAAGCTCGTCCACTCGGGCACGGCCAGCGGCGCATACGCGCGGAAGCTCTCCCTCTTCTGCCCGAGGCGCTTCTCCGCCGCCTGCGGCACGAGGCCGAGGATCTCCGCGACGGGGACGCCCTCCGCGGTGAACAGCTCCTCGGGGCGGTACGACTTGAGCCACGCCTGCAGCGCGGCGAGCTCCTCCGCGGACGTCTTCGCGCCCGGGAGCGGCACCTGGTGCGAGTGGAACGAGCCCTCGATGAGCTCGCCGTGGAACGATTTGGGCCCGCCGAGGCCCTTGGGCGTGCGCAGGATGAGCACGGGCCAGCGGGGCTTGACGATGGGGGTGCCGCTCCGGGCGGCGGTCTGGATCTTCTTGATCTCGGCGAGCGCCCAGTCCATCGACGCGGCGAGGTTGTTGTCGATGTTCTCGGTGTCGTCGATGATGCGGACTTGGTATCCGTAACCGCTGGAAGCACATCAGAAAACGTATAGGCGGATAGCCAGATGAGTCCTACGTGAAGAGCGCAGTCAGCTCCTTGTCGTCCATCGTGCCGTAGATGGTGCGCTCGGAGATCTTGAACCCGTTGACGTGCACAATGGGCAGCACTGCGCCGGACTCTG